AGTTTCAGAATTGTTTACCGCTTCCTTTCCGCGCTTATGCATATTCCTTTCCCAGGGATTTCGAGTCCTCGAAATGGCTTCTCAAAATCTAGCAAGCGAATTTATTCAAGTGGATTCATATCGCGGAGGGAAACATAAATATTCATCTCCTCGCTAATCATTTTCTGCCTTCCTAAATGCTAACAATAAGTAAAGGCGAAGCTCACAAAGCCCGGAATTTCTCGCAGAATGCCCGCCGTTGTATGCGCAACGTCCGAGAGGTCCTTTTCTCTAATATCTTTGGGAAACATATAAAATCTCATCGCTTCGCGGCTGCAACTTGATTTGGGCACACGTGCACCGAATGAAATTGTGACGTTTCACGTATATATACTAACTGTACATCGGCAGAAAAAGGCCATGTGAAATTCCGTCGTGAAAATCCGAGCAAAAACCACACGACAATTCCGTTCGCTTTCATCGCTATCTCGTCTCGCTGATGCGATATATATATACTACTTTTTCCTAATTAACCAAGGTGAAACAGAGACGAAACGAGACCGGCCTTGAAAGAGAAGCTACGTGATCTCTATTCCTACATGTACACATAGATTAGAGGAGATTAAACGTTCGTTTAACGTCTCTTTGCTTTTGTTATACCAACTCCGTTAATTCCATCGTAAAATCAGGTTAGCGCGTTTACACGAGAGCATAACTCGTTCTAGATCGGTAATATCGATATTAAGACTCGTCGAGATGAGATTGAGATCGCTCCGAGATCGACGCGTAACATCGCCGACGCGTTATGTCTTAATAATGGCATAATGACCGATAATTACGGTGCGAAATAGGCAAGGTCGGTCGATTCTTTCGGCTGATGATTGAAAGTTACCGGGGATACTTTCACTCCGCTTCCTGCGAGACAGCAATAACAATACGCGTTCGAAGGAGTTCATCCGGTTGCACTTCTCGGTGCTCGCTTGATGAGAAAACAAAGTCTCGAGCGAACTTTCGCACTCGAGAAAAAGTTCTTCGCGATCTCCGACACGTATACGTATTTTACCATTTTACCTCGGAAGGACGTGTTCGCCGCGGGCTGAGTCCGAAAGCTGGAAAGTGTGTGCGGTTAGACTGATGTGAGCAGAGCAAGAGATATATACTCTCGCCTATATCTCGAGTTTCCATTCGCTTCTCTCTCCTCATAGCTTCTGTTTTGTGCGGAATTGCGCACCGCAACAGATAGATTTCGCGCAAGTCCGACAGCCTTGTTTGTTGACTCTTTGGAATTCCTTTCCCACCATGTCGAACCAACATGGTGTACTTTATTATCGCGGCAAAAATATGTAACGTAATTACGAATCAATTATTCACAGTTATATCATCGTTTCTCGTTTCCCGAATAATCCGCTATCGGATCGCTGGGTTCAATTTATTAAAAGCGTAAACATAGAATATATAGAGGCAGGGTTGGGTAAGTTAATGATTCTTTTCAACTAAGTTAAGTTAAAGTTAACAGTTTTATGAACAAAAAATTAACTCAGTTAAACAAATGACAAAAAAATTTTGATTTTTATATAGAAATATATTTTTAGTAATTAAAATTGATGACATGTAGATAAAAAAATTTAACTTAGGAAAAAAGTTAATAAGTTTAAGGTCAAAAATTACTAGGGGAAGTTAAAAATTAATACATTTGAAATAAACTAACAATAAGCAAATGTAAAAGTGATGAACTTTTTAACTTTTAAATAATTAACTGGTTATTACCCAACCCTGCATAGAGGTATGTATATGTACACTTTCTTCCGCGCTTTCATCCAGTTTACGACTCGAATATTTTATGTTCGGCGCGAGAGACACAATGATGGGAAAAACCGCGACAGGTCCGTATTTTAACCGGTGCCACAAAGCGTCGGTTTAGCTCGCGAAAAAACGAGGGAAAAGCAGGGAGTGTTGCACATGAATGGCATATTGTGCCACCGCGTTTCAACTACGACGACGACGAGGCATTCGACAGGAATCACGCTCGCCTTTCCACCGCCCACTCATATGTTAGGCTACTATTACTACTACGGTTTAATTATCGCATTAGCGATCACCCGAGAAACGCGAAAGTCGGAGAGGAAAGCTCCCCGAGGAGTAACCCTCGGTCGGATTCCCTCTTGGATGTCAGCAGATTCAATGAAAAAAATTCCCTGACTTTTTCAGATTTTCCAAGACTAGAAATTCATTTTTCCCTGACATTTTAGTGTTGTTTTTTCCAAATATATAATTTGCATATATCTATGATAAATCAATTAAATCATGAAATCCTTGAGATAAAAATTTGAGACAAAAATTTAAATCAATTATACAATCTGCATTATGCACGATAATCGAAACAAACATGTATCACGCTATAAACTATTTCAATAATCACCTTTTTTTTTAGTTTTGTCTCTATCAAATACATTGAAATAAAATAACACGACGATGAAAATATAAATTAACGAATCGATGTTTAACAACACAGAAAATTAGCGTGTTGGCAGTCGAGGAAAAGTTTAGATTTATTTAATAAAAATTTTCAAATTATTGAGACAAATGTAGAATGTGAAAAAATGCAGATAAATAGTAAAATTTCTTATCAATGCCCGGTTTTCCAGATTTCCCTGACCGCTAGACACCCTGCTTTTCCTTCAGCTACCAGAGATAATTGAATCCTGCCGACTGTCATTGCTTCTAGACAGCCTCCTACCAGTTCGCTCCTTTCGTTTCACGAGGAGATGCAATATACGTCATCTACATCACTCGATGTCGGAAAGATATTGATTATGTGATGGGATGAGAGACGTTAAATCGGGACGCGTAGGCGGAGGCTGATTTGACAATCGATGATCTTTAGAAGACGGGTTAGACTATAACTTGTAAAAGTTTGGAGGATGCAAGAAATACATACTCTCTCGGTTTCGAAGGACTCGACTTGGGTGTTTCGAAAGACGGGAAACGATCGGCGTGATATTTCGACTGCAATAATATACGACCCCGACGACCCCGACGTCATTCGGAATATAAAACCCAAACCCTCTCGTCGTCGTACTTTCTCCCGAGAATGTGTTCCGGCGAAACATTATTAATCTCTTCATCGACCACCGACCGGGAGCGAGAAAAGAGAAGGGTGGAGAAAAGGAAGGGAAACAAAACCGCCTATTGTTGTTCGGGATTTAAGCGCAGGTGCATCGGTTTGACCTTTCGAGCGCGAAACGTCACGTTTCGTTATCTTTTTTCTTTTTTTTCTTTTTGCATATTCGAGATGTCGGAACGAGTTTCGCACTTATCGTTCTTATTTGCATTTGTATACAGATCCTTTTATCGGTCTTTTTTTTCTTTTTTTTCCTCTTTACCCGATAACGCGCTTCCGTCTAATGTATATGATTTATACCGTCTCGACGACGTTCAAATATTAAATATACCATTACGCAATCCTCTTCGTATTTTATAAGGATCGGCGTAAAAGTCACTTTCACCGTCGATGGGCGACGAACGTAACAGATCGAGAATCGTTAGTTGTTAGCGATCGCAGGAGTCGAAATAACTCGCGTTTCGATTCCACGGGGGTTAATCGCAACATCTGCAATATTCGCTATGACAGCTGGCAACTGATATTTACGCCGAGAGTCCTTCCGAGTCACGCCGGATAATGAAGTCTCGCGAGTGATGAGAAAAAGATGAGCCTTGTTACTCGCTTCCGTCGGTGACCCCGTGAACCCGAATATACAGGAGAGGCCGCTCATTTCGTGACTAATGTGCAAAGTATAAAGGAAAGGAGGAACGAAGCTTCTCTAGACGCAGCATCGATTTTTCGATACTGTTTTGCAGCACTTTCCCTAGATATATGTACATATATTTATATTAAGATGAGTTCTTGATCATTAGTAGAGTAAACATTATTTCTGTGCCCAAAAGAATGGCAAGTATACTTATATGACAAGATATGAATTAATAAGAGTGTAATTTATGGTAAAGAATATTTTATATGATTTCGTTCGGTTCGATTTGTCCTTTTACCTAAATAAAATAATACGAATCAAGTTATTTACGTTAAGGTCCCAAAATATTATTCCAATTTTCTATACATTTTAAACAGGCATTAAAGCATTCTTTCGTTATATTTAATATACTTTCTATTCTAAAAAGCCTTGAGATTATATCTTCACACTGTATCTTTAATGGATTTTTAATGAATTTTTTACATTTCAATTTATATTTTTTACTTAATTACAATATATCTCATTAAATATTCATTGAAGAAAGGAGAAATAGCGATTGCTAAAGATTAAAAAAAAAGAGATCAAGAATTTCGTGGTATACTCCTTAAAAAATACACATGGCAAATGATCCGAAACTAGTATTCGATTCACGTCTAGTTCCCTTACGTGTTTAAACGCTCGAGAACCACCTCGTTTTACAAATCGCTAATTTAACTAAAATTTGAGCAAAACACGTCGCGAATTTATCGTTCGTTTACTTGGAACGAACCTAGTGTATTCCCCGTATAACCGCAACGGTTGGTTTACCACTGACCATGTCATTAAACCGAGACGTCGATGTAACGGCGAATCATCAAATGCGAAAGAATAGAATTTAATGTTGGTCTGTCGATCGTTACATTGTCTTATAATAACGCGTGTCTGTCATGACTGTACGAGTAACGAGGCCACTGGGCCGATATTTTACATTTACATTACATGATTTCGGAAATCGTGTTGCAGTAAAAATCGCATCCGAGTTTATAGATTGATTAAAAACGATAAGTTGCGGGAATCCATTCGAATATCAGAAAATTAAAATAATTACACATATTTTCAAATTGCGTAATATTTTTGTAAATATTCAATCTTACATAAAAAAAATCGATCCGGCAATGTAACACCTGAAAGCTTTATATCGCATGTGCACGTGCACAATGCACACGTGTATGAATGCTTAATGTGAACGATGAATGCGTATAAAGTGATGTCGGATGAAACTCTTTTATATACCTGCGTATCGAGTGTTGCATCCAACTGTCGCCATTATATTCAAGTGGATCAAGGTTCCGTCAACTATAAACGCATAATGCAACTAAACGTTGATATGGCAGGCCTGGGTTTAATCACTGTGATTCGATCGGTAGCCACGCGCGCACTCCAATTAATTCATATTATAGTCGCGAAAACAATGGAACAATGACGGCTGGTCTTGGCCAGGTTTCCGCCTTACCTTTGATCCTTCGTGTTATTTTTAGCAAAAGGTCTCGCGGGTGTTGCGTTTTGCTCTCTCGGTGGAAAAACGCGAATGTAGAACGCAGAACTCTTCGTCTCTCCCTGCACTCTTATTAAAATTAAACGCTCAAAAGAATCTCTCCCCGTCAAGTCACCCTTCAACCTACCTACGCAGTCCCCCTTTTTCCCAGCACGTGTGGACGAAGGCTCCACATAAGTGGGACACCTTCTCTTATCACATCCCGCAAACCGCGGAAACGAGCCACGTAGAAAGGCGTATAAGGGAAAGGAAGAGCGCGCACACATCGGAGTGAGAGTACACCCGGGGAACTCGTCAGGGAATTGAGTGCCCCCCGAGGAAAGGGGACCAAAGGCACTGATTTATTTTTCCGTTAAAACACATAATCACGAACGAACTTCTTTTCTTGTGGTAAAACTTAGCGCCGCGCAAAGGAGGGTCGATGCTTTCTAGGTGCGTAGGTGGTCCAATTTGCATCATCGCGCACACCGGACACGTTTATCCGAAATTTAAAAGCACTTCTGGAAAGTGGCGACGCAAAGTGAGACCCCTTTCAGGACGGAGATAAAAAGAGAGAGAGAGAGAGAGAGAAAGAGACGGGCCCAAAAGAGCGAGAGAATGGGAGAGAAAGGGAGACCAGAGAGCCAGAGAGAGGGAGGGAGTTGGATTACCGCGTTCGCGTCGGGTTTGCTACCGCGGAACCGCAGAAGACCGGCCGCCTCCGAAGGAACCGGTTGCGCGTGTGTTGTCGCGAAAGGGGCAACGAGAGTCCAGGAGCTGCCAGACCCATCACGAGCGAGCCATGAGCGGCCAGAGCGTGGATGTGGTCTGGGACCCGCAGACCCAAACCAACTCGTTAGAGGGCTGGGATTACTCTATCGAGCTCGCGTACCTCAAGAGCCTCAAGGGCTCCTCTTCCGAAAGTAGTAAGTAAGGCAAAAAAGGGTGCGTAGGAAATTTCCGGTGCTGTCAACGTATCGATCATGTTGCCAAAATTGCTCTTCAATGCGAAACAAGTGATAATATCAAAAGATAATGAAACGAATAAAAAAGGAATGAGTGATTTAGTATATTAAAGTTCATCGTGATGATATTAAGAGAAAATATAGGGGATTAGGCAAAAAAGAGATTAAAGTAATATTGTAATAATGATGATTGGTGTGTGAAAGGGTATTTTCACTTCGCTCTGCCCGCTCGATAGAAAAACAGCAACACGTCTGCGAATCTATTTTCTCGCGCAAATCACCGATTCGAGTCGCCAATAATCGAATCTGCAAATATCTCGTCTCGCGATTCTGCGGTCATAAGTCTCGTCTCGTGATTCCGTGAACTCTCTACGGGTCGCTTCGCAGTGAGAAACGCGAGTAAACGGTAACCGCGGTCGCTTGCTCACCACGAAGGTCCTTGGCCCTTGGCCGGTGTCAGAACGAGGGAGTGCGAACCTGAGCGCGTTCGCGCACTCGGAAAGCAACAACAACCTGCGGCATTCCGCGATCCATTGTCATGAGCCAAGTCGAGATCTCGATTCTAGGTATTTCTTTCCTATTTCCAACGAGTTCACGGACGTGAGCCGAAAGCGTGTAATAAAATGTACCGTGAAATTCTTCGATACATATCATTTATCATCAGCTTGTTTAAAATATTATAATTTTTTTTGCAATTTTTCGAACAAATCGAATTAAAAACAGATCCGTTCGCGTGCGCTGAAAATATTTTCTGATCCGAGATAGAAGAAGTATTCATATGAAAATACGACTTACCTTCGTGCGCAGATCTTCAGTTGGCGGCGGAGCTCGGCAAGACTCTATTGGAGCGGAATAAAGAGCTGGAGAACATCATCAAGCTGCACCAAGCTACCGTGGAAGAGCAAACACAGGAGATCGAGGTGACTATACATCTCGCAGTAATTTATATGTATAGTTGTTCGCAGTAATTCGAAGACTAATTATCGCCTGAAACACAAACATAGTTTCTGATCATTTAAATCGTTTTAATGTTTACGAATGTTATTTTTTTACGAGATGATCTAATCGGTAAGAAAATTCAAGCCGCGACGGAGTCATTCAATCTCGAAATTATGCTACCCGATAAATATGTATGCGTCGTTTATCTGTTTGCAGTACATGAAAAAACAAACCGCCGCTCTGAGGGAGGTAAACAATACACGGTTGAAAGTCTACGAGCAGCTGGAAGTTAGCGTACAGGATCTGGAACGTGCGAATCATCACCTGGTGATCGAGAACACGAGCGATAAGAAACTGATCAAGAGGTATTTCTTAATTTTTTTGTTCCTTTTTTTAACTTCTCTTACGCGCGGAACGTTTTCAACTAGCAAAAAAGAGGGGAAAAAATGGATGACTCTGCTCGCGCTTATTTAAGAGAGATATTGTTCGAAACTCGGAATAACATATTCTGGAAGTACCGTGAAGAAGATCGCTTGAAAAGCATCAGCGAGAGATATCTGATTATTATATCTTACCGGTTTCTTATTGTATCGGCCATGTGAACCGTTCTAAGCTCACCTTTCTAAATGCATAATTCATTACCATACATCTGATACAATTATAATCCATGCGGAGTCATTAAGTATTATTTTCCTATTTAACACTATTCTAATCTTTCGACGCAATCTATTTCTCCCGAGAGTAAGTTTTTTGCTTCTTATTATTTAATGAAATGCACGATGCGTTCACGTGATTCTCGACTAAGTCGGACTCGAAATGTCACCTCGCTATGCATTTCTTGTCGAGCCAGGCGCCACTTCGAACATATGTCGTCGGGATGATTGTGCGATCGCAATATTTTACGACGATGATGATGATGATGATAATAATCGATTTGCCCATCCAGCCAATCCGTGACTATTGAGAATCTGGAAATAAGATGCGAGGAACTTCAAAAGAAGATTGACGACTTGACCGGACAGTTACGTCAGCGAGCTGCGAGCCCGTCTAGGAATAATAATGTTCAGCAACAGCAACAACAACAACAGAGTATCGATTGGGAAACTTCGGACACACAGGGTGGCAGCGAGAAACAGGTAAGGTGCAAACATTTGACAGCTCCTCTTTTAAACCACTTACTTTGTTCGGTCGGAAACTATTGTTGCGTCTTTGGCTTCTAATCGTGAGGATTTACGCTTTTTTCCTTAGAGAGCTGCCCCGAGCTCGCCGAAGTCCTCCCAAGAAACTATCGACACGACCGCGGCGAATGATGCAGAGATGACCGAGTTGCTGAGACAGCTGCAAGACGCTCGCAGTCAAAGGGCCAGAGAGCAGAAGAAGGTGTCCGAGCTCAGTCAGCAGTTGACCAGCTTATTACAGGAGAACAGCGCGCTGGAGGAGCAGTTGACAGAGCTGCGTAATAAGGCGCAGGATGTGAAGAGTCTGCAGGATGAAATTAACACGTTAGAGGAAGTCAGGTGCTCTTCTCTTTTCATACACATTTTGCTTGTTCTCCACGCATTTATTAAAACATTAATTAAAAGCTAGATTCGAAATCGTACGCACCTTAGAAAGGATTAAAGGCGGTCTCGATAAAACAATTTATGTAAGATTCTGGTTAATCTGTTTTCACAGACGAGGTCAATTATGCGGACGATGTCTGCGCGGTATGGACACGAGGACGCACGACGAGCTCTCCATCATGCTGGATCAGGAGGAGTACGATGACATAAGTGTTGCCGAGTCGTTAATCAACGAGAATCAGCGCGACTCTGAGCAGCCAGTGCAGGTATTTCTTCTCTTTCTTTTCGTGTGTATACGATTCGCTCTCGCGAATCTCTCTTTCTCTCGTAAACTCTCCGTGTTTGCATGTATAATGAATCTCTTTCGGTCTCTACCGTCACCATGTCGCTTCCTTCGATCGGTTCTCAGCGCTTCTTTAGAACTCCCATAGTAATTCTCTTTTGTCTCTGCTTTAGGAAATGACAAACTTTGCGAAATACGAACCAAAGACGGCATGTATATGGTATAATTCGCTGTTGTGGAAGATATTCGCTTGTACGAGAGTACCATTATTGTTGTTTAATTTTTCCGAAACGATCGTCTACCTTAGCGCCCGCTTCATCGTTTCGATTGCGCTTGCATTTCTCCGAATACCGTCGTTTATCTTCCGTAGAATGTCACTAGTTGTCCTTATGCTTTGGCTGTTTAGACGTTGGAAATCGAAGATCCTTTAACGCAGCATGCTAAACGCTCAAGCAATTCTATTAATCAAACGCGAACGTCATTTCATTAATCGATCTCGTCAACAATGGAAGGGAGGATGTTTGCTATTTCTTGAAGAGTTATGTAATTCCTTGATGTTACATAACAGTTGTTTAAAATATTATGTTGACGATTATTTATATATTTCTAACATGACGCGCGACTTTAAATGATACGTTACGTAGCAGTATGCATATATTACGTGGTACAAATCGGAGGAAGGATATTATTTATTTTGCTTCATTATATTGAAGGGATTTGATTTTATAATGTTGGGAAAATTATTAAAGCTTCAATTAATTTGCGAATATTAAGGCATTTATAAAGTCTTGAGCATGTCACTGCGGTAAGTCTCTTACTCGACTTCCAATATTAAGAAGACTATATTTAACTTTTCGATATATACCTCGGCAACATTACGAGTTTAGTGTAAGCAGATGTAAATATATGTGCTTATCGCTGACACGTCTTGAGCATGACAAAGCTTTTGTATACCGGAATCACTGCGTTTCTAGTCGAATTACTCTCTTCGATTACTTTTTGTGTACAATGTATAAGTGCCAGATTTATAGATGTTAAATAAAATATTTTCTCATAGAACTTTGTTGTAGTTTTTAATATCCTATAAATCTGGCATGCGTGTGTGTGTGCTTCTTTCTGTTTGCAGTCATTCTTTGTTTCATCTTTTATTAACATATATATTTTAGCGACTTCTTAATTTAAAAAATAAGTAAGAAAAAATATCAATTAACATTTCATATTAATAAGACTCTATTTAATATTAATATCAAAAATAATCAATTTACAAATGATTTTAAATGGCAGATAATTTTCTAATATCATTATTTTATATTATTTTTCGAATAGCATTCTCAATTAAATTCCAGTAAACACATAGAACATAAATACATAAACACAAATAGAATTACATCCTTCATAGCATAGTTCCTACTGCACATACGTAAATTACCTTGCACGCAGGATACAGCCAGCAAGAACGAGTGTACGGACGAGCTGGACAGTGCGAATCCGTATCGAGTCCTGGTGGAGAAGTATCAGGCTTTGTTGGAGGTGCAGAGACACTGTCAGCCTCGTCGTAAGGACGTGCCGAATCCCGCGACATGCATGTCGTTGCAGGAAGAGCTGGAGATGTCCGGCGAGTTCAACAATTTCTATCCCACCGAAGGCGCCGTTGCTGCAGGACCGGAATCGAACAAGACTGCCGCTTCGCGAGCCAAAGCGTCCGAGAACTCCTCCGGGAAGAAACCTTTCTCGGCGACCCCGACAGATTTCTCCGAGGCCGAGACGTCGTCCTCGGCTTCTCGGACGAGACGAGCAATAAGGCGACGCAGACGGACGGCAGGCCGGGTTCGTTCCTGTGCTCCATCGCTGACGGCGAAGACTGCAAGTTCAGCATCTACGACGACAACAGCCCTTTCGAGAGCAATTCCGCAAAACGCCCGAATATCGGCAACTGTTCAGCGAGATCTTCGGCGTCTTGAAGCGGGCGGCCGAGGCAAAGGACGAGGTGAGAAACTCCCGTTGTTGGACGACCTCTACCACGTCCCAAACAACGTGCGAGGCATCGTTCCAGGAGGATCTTCACAGCGAGGCGACCGACGATAATCAGAGTGTCATGTCCTCCATGGTGTCGTCGGTGGTCTCGGAACCGGTCTTCAGCCGAGTGTTGTCGACTAACAGCCCACCAGTAACGGCCAACAATCCGACAACAGCAAATCCGGTAACATCGGCCTTCAAAACAACCTGATTGTAAGGACGCGGGTTGCAGGATGGACTACGTGTCCGTTAACTTGCGTATGCGCAAAAGTCCTCGGCGAAGAAGAACTTCGCCAAAAAACGCAGTACAACGGGGCGACCGCGCCGGACGTCATCCCTACGACGAACCCGAAATTCGTGCCACCCAAGCCCAACGGCGGTGGTCGAAGGAGGTTCAAGCCGTTCAATCCGGCCGAGCACGAGCACCCGGGGACGTGAAACGGCCAGCACGTCGCGTATTCGACGACGACGCGGTCGAGGGACAACAACGAGGCAACAGCACACATGTGCGCGGACTTCGGGCGAGCAACAGCCGCATAATAATTTCGAGTACAGGGATTTCAAACCTAGCACAGCCTCCGAAGAGTTGCACGATTGAAGCGGCTGGAGATGTCTTACGCAGAGGTTCTCCGCACCCGAACAATAAGTCTCGCGCCAACAACAACAATCATCATCATCATCATCATCATCATCACCGTAGGAGTTAAACGGAACGACTATGAACGGATAGAACGCAGCGAAGTAAAGCAAGAATGTAGAGTTTTATATTTGATTTTTGATTATAACTCTCTTTCTCTTTCTCTCCTTTCTCTTTTTCTCGAATTAGGATAGCCCGCGCGTTTAGTCCACATCATTCATTCCGCGATGACGATTCAGTATGTTTTGTACTTGTAAATATATTTGACAAACGCGAACGTATAGCGTGGCGATGATTTCTTTTAGGCACTAATTAACGCGTCGGCGTTAGCCCTTAAGTTTTCGTTAACATTTCGTATTATCTCCC